GCTCTTACCTAGAAATACCAACCAAACATTTATTTCAGATATTTTATTTGCTAACATACTTTGATTAATTCAACATAAGACAGTATTTCTCTCATCACATGCCGGTGTGACCCACCCAGAGAGAAGATCTCCCACAGCAGTATCCCATAGGACCAGACGTCACTCTGCACTGTGTACACACATTCAAAGATGCTCTCAGGGGCCATCCACTTCACTGGCAGACGGGCCTGGGAATACAATAGTTTTAGAGATCATTATCATATCATAGTTCACAATCATTCAAGGATCGGAGCCTCCAAAACTAAAGTGATTTCTTTATACAAATGTTATTAACTCACATTTCCTTTCACCACATAGTTGGAGTCATTCTCAATGTCTCGGGCGAGGCCAAAGTCGCAGATCTTAGCCACACGGCCATCGGTCAAGAGAACGTTCCTAGCCGCCACGTCCCTGTGAATGCACTGCACGAAGACAACATAGGTTTCACTCATATGTACGTGTGTGCATCTGCATGTTACACTACATGAGTTATGATATTAATTACATTTTTATTGTTCTATTACATTTTTGGATGCAAGGAAGTCCATTCCCTGAGCCACCTGAGAGGAGAACCTCAACAAGTCTTCTATGTCCAGCGACCAGGTGCCTGTCTCTGGATCCTCACATAGGGAACCTATCAGGAAGAGAGAGAGGAAGAGAGAGAGAGAGTATATGAGACCTAGGGTTGCAAAGGGAGGGTATATTTCAGGTAACCTTCGAAGTTTACCAGTAAACTACTGACATTTTGGAAACATTCAAGGATTTTATGGAATTTTCATAACATATAAAAGGTATAGAATAATAAAATATAATTGTATTATAAGAAATGGAATGACAAAGCCGTAAAACATTATCCTAAATAGAATCCATCAACTAACTGAATACCGTTGGTGTTTAATATGAGTGTTTCAGCATGAAATATCCTTTATATTTTGTACACGCTTCTATTTATTTTACAATGTCAATAGGTCTTTGTTGTAAATGTTTTGGTGCCAAAGTGCGGTCAGTTGTGAAAAAAGTAAATAATTGGAAGCGTTGCAGAGTTAATTGCAAATCGAGACCTTGGGAGTATAGGCTTCTATCTGACATTTTGGACAACAATGGGTTATTCACATAAAGCTGTTCTTTAGGTGGTCCTTCACATGTGAGATATGTTATATTGGGTTATTCACATAAAGCTGTTCTTTAGGTGGTCCTTCACATGTGAGATATGTTATATTGGGTTATTCACATAAAGCTGTTCTTTAGGTGGTCCTTCACATGTGAGATATGTCATATTTGTGGAAAAAGTCAATTTACGATGAACAAAAGAAATCTGAAAGTTCTATATGCGCCAACACCTTTGAACTTGGTGCTATAAGGTTCTAGCTGCAATACAATCACACTATGCTGGGTTGTAAATAGAACATGATTGTATGTAAGGTGATGTACTTATTGAGTCATGAAAGAAGAAGACATCGCAAAACAGTTCTGAGATCTGGGAAAAATACTAATTATCTCAAACCACACATTTTGCAGATAGAACCTTATAGTCCCAAGTCCTTGATTATTCATATCATAGGTTCTGGTCCGCTTTTGCAATTACTTACATTTTTTTCACCACTTTTTCAGAAGATCAAAACAAATAAATACAGATGCCTTACAGCCTGTTTAAATCCCATTGGAGAGGCATTGTTTTTTTTAAACTTGTTCTATAGCAATATGAAAACCTCCATGGAAGGGGTATTTCACTAAAATTACAAACGTACTACATTTGATTGATGATTAGTTTACTGACTTCGGGTGTCAGAGACCAGAAAAATATATCAGTTTACTCATCCAGAGCTAAACTGTAGCAATGTTGATAGTTTTCCATAGGATATAGTGTATTTGTCAATTTAGTGAACTATCGCTTTAACAAATGTGTAATGAACATTAATAAATATATTGATGATGTGAGTAGAAAGACTTAAAGGTATTCTCTTTATTTAATCATTAAATGTGTGTACTTTTCTATTGAAATTGAAAGAATTGTAACATTCTGTGCCAGGTAGAAACTTATTACTGAACCCAGATTGACATTTCAGAACCATAAGGTTTTATCTGAAATTGCACCCACTAGAAAAACTGATTTACAAATGTCACAGGATTTTGATACTCTGCACTTTAGGTATTTTTAAGGTGAGGACCTTAATGGGTTATGAAAAATGTTGATGCTCAATTTCTCAGAACTATGCTTTGCGCAGATAAAACCTTTTAGTCCCAACAATGAAATTACGTCATTGTTGATTAGATGCTTTTTAAAATAATTAAGCTATTTTCTCTTGAACCATATGGTCTATCAACTAGAAACTCATGGACAATATGGAAAGCTATAAAGATTAAGAAAAATTATACACTACCAGTCAAAGGTTTGGACACACCTACTCATTCAAGGATCTTTCTTTATTTGTACTATTTTTTACATTGTAGAATAATAGTGGAGACATAAAAACTATGAAATAACACATATGGAATCATGTAGTTGTAACAGGGTTGAAATAGACATCCTTAGATGTATGAGTTTTGTCATAATTAAGCAGCCAGGTTATGTATACGTATGTATAGTTGTGGAGCCACCTGCTGTATTATTTGAGTAACTGCATGCCAGTGTATATAATAAATATGTGCAGATGATCACGCAGTCAAAGAGTTGTTAAACTTTGATGGAGGTATGTAACGTGGTCCATGCTGCATCCAGTGTTTACACTTCTAAAATGATATCTAATGTGTGTTAGGCTGAAAACCATATTGTTTTATAATCACTATCGATGTTGACATGTTTATGTATTTACAAAATTTGCACGTTGCGTTATGCTAAAGGTTAGCTAAAGTTCACCTTGCACTTTCTTTGCTAATTAGGCTAGTCACCTCGTGAAGTGTACATTTATTTTTATTTTATGTTATTTCATGTCATTCAGATTGCTTGGTGTTGTGTATGTATTTGCAGGTATGTGCTCCCAAATTATATGGAATCATGTTATGTTACTGTACACGTGTAGACCATTTGCTGTGGTGATGTGTTATGGCTGTCAAACGGAGTCATTATAAGTTGAGTGCTCTGTAGCCATGTTGTTATAAATTAAACGTATAAAATGTATATTATAAATATACATTTTTATACAATTGTTACAGATCCAGTCAAAAGAGTTGTTAAACTTTGATGGAGATTGCTTGGTGGGTTGCAGTTGTTCTGACATGTACACAGTGTTGTGTATGTATTTGCAGAATAAACAGTGAAAGAGAACAGCACCATGTCCTTCATTGATGAGCCATATGAGAGCCGTTACATAGTAACCAAAAAAGTGTTAAACAAATCAAAATATATTTTATATTTGAGATTCTTCACATAGCCACCCTTTGCCTTGATGACAGCTTTGCACACTCTTGGCATTCTCTAAACCAGCTTCATGAGGTAGTCACCTGGAATGCATTTCAATTAACAGGTGTGCCTTCTTAAAAGTTAATTTGTGGAATTTCTTTCTTAATGCGTTTGAGCCAATCAGTTGTGTTGTGACAAGGTGGGGGTGGTATACAGAAGATAGCCCTATTTGGTTTAAGACCAAGTCCATATTATGGCAATAACAGCTCAAATAAGCAAAGAGAAACGACAGTCCATCATTACTTTAAGACATGAAGGTCAGTCAATACGGAAATGTTCAAGAACTTTGGAAGTTTCTTCAAGTGCAGTCGCAAAAACCATCAAGCGCTATGATGAAACTGGCTCTCATAAGGACCGCCACAGAAATGGAAGACCTAGAGTTACCTCTGCTGCAGAGGATAAGTTCATTAGAGTTACCAGCCTCAGAAATTGCAGCCCAAATAAATGCTTCACAGAGTTCAAGTCACAGACACATCTCAACATCAACTGTTCAGAGGGGACTGTGTGAATCAGGCCTTCATGGTCGAATTGCTGCAAAGAAACCACTACTAAAGGACACCAATAAGAAGAAGAGACTTGCTTGGGCCAAGAAACACGAGCAATGGACATTAGACCGGTGGAAATGTGTCCTTTGGTCTGGAGTCCAAATTGGAGATTTTTGGTTCCAACCGCCGTGTCTTTGTGAGACGCGGTGTGGGTGAATGGATGATCTCCGCATGTATAGTTCCCACCGTAAAGCATGGAGGAGCAGGTGTTATTGTGTGGGGGTGCTTTGCTGATGACACTGTCTGTGATATATTTAGAATAAAGGCACACTTAACCAGCATGGCTACCACAGCATTCTGCAGTGATATGCCATCCCATCTGGTTTGGGCTTAGTACGACTATCATTTGTTTTTCAACAGGACAATGACCCAACACACCTCCAGGCTGTGTAAGGGCTATTTTACCAAGGAGAGTGATGGAGTGCTGCATCAGATGACCTGGCCTCCACAATCCCCCGATCTCAACCCAATTGAGATGGTTTGGGATGAGTCGGACGGCAGAGTGAAGGAAAAGCAGCCAACAAGTGCTCAGCATATGTGGGAACTCCTTCAAGACTGTTGGAAAAGCATTCCAGGTGAAGCTGGTTGAGAGAATGCCAAGAGTGTGCAAAGCTGTCATCAAGGCAAAGGGTGGCTATGTGAAGAATCTCAAATATATTTTGATTTGTTTAACACTTTGTTGGTTACTACATGATTCCATATGTGTTACTTCATAGTTTTGATGTCTTCACTATTATTCTAAAATGTAGAAAATTGTAAAAATAAAGAAAAACCCTTGAATGAGTAGGTGTGTCAAAACCTTTGACTGGTACTGTATATAAATACATGTTTAAAAGTGATTCAAGTATAATTACCAAAGTTGCAATAGATTACATGTTAATTACTAAAATTACTGAAAATTCTGGTAACTTGTGTAAATTACCAGTAGTTTTGCAACCCTAAGACTTAACCGTGTATCCTGCTGTTCCACTCCTCAAACCTTGCTATGTTACTGTGATGAGTAAAAGGATATGTAATTACCCATAGGGCAGTGTTTGGGCCTCTGCGCTGGATGCATGTCCTCGTAGTTGTTTGAGCTGGAGCAGGAGATCCCACTGTCACTGCAGACACATAGAGGACTAAGAGGTTAGTTGTGTTGTACGACAGAATTACAGAACAGAAGAACCTACTGAGATGTAGTGATGGGAAGTTCGGCTCTTTATACTGACTCAGATATTTTCGACTCGTTCAGTCAAAATAATTAATATTTCGACTCATTTCGTTCATTTGAGTCAGCAATGCTGTGAGGGTGATAAGCACAATCGTTCGTGAACTGCAGCCCCCCAAACAATTAATTATTGAGTTTGTTGAGGAGAGGGTGTGTGTGTTTTGGTTCTGCAAAGCTGTGTCCATTATAACATTCAATAATCAATGAATTGTAGTCATTCTTGCCCCATGCGATCTATTATCAGTTCTAAACATGTATTTTTCTTCTCTATGCTCATGATCTATCCTGTGTGCATATGACAGACAGTTGGTGATTGGAGCACGTTTCTGGAGCCGCTGAGCTGGAAGAGCGTGTGTTAATCCTGCTTTAGGACTCATTGTGGCCAGCACTAGCAGGTCAAACGAACGACTAAAATGAACGAGTCATGACTCTCGAGTCAGTAAAAAGAGTAGTTCAAAAAAGAACTAATCATTCACGAACTGCACATCACTAGTGCGATGATGTAGTGATATGTAGAAGAAGAGTATTCATGTGCTGATGTTTGCTGTGATGGAGTGCTAAGCTTGCAGAGTGAACTTACCCTTAATTATACCCATTGTGTCCACATGTTACTGAGCCTACTACATTACAAGGTTACACTACGGTCTACACTGTATATACAGTGCTATGAAAAAGTATTTGCCCCCTTTCTAATTTTCTCTACTTTTGCATATTTGTGATACTGAATGTTATCAGATCTTCAACCAAAACCTTATATTAGATAAAGGGAACATAAGTGAACAAATAACACAACAATTACATATTTATTTCATAAACAAAGTTATGCAACACCCAATTCCCCTGTGTGAAAAAGTAATTGCCCCCTTACACTCAATAACTGGTTGTGCCACCTTTAGCTGCAATGACTCCAACCAAATGCTTCCTGTAGTTGTTGATCAGTCTCTCACATCGCTGTGAATTTTGGCCCACTCTTCTATGCAGAACTGCTTTAACTCAGTGACGTGTGGGTTTTCAAGCATGAACTGCTCGTTTCAAGTCCTGCCACAACATCTCAATTGGGATTAGGTCTGGACTTTGACTAGGCCATTCCAAAACTTCCAATTTGTTGCTTTTTAGCAATTTTCATGTAGACTTGATTGTGTGTTTTGGATCATTGTCTTGCTGCATGACCCAGCTGCGCTTCAGCTTCAGCTCACAGACGGATGGTCTGACATTCTCCTGTAGAATTCTCTGATACAGAGCAGAATTCATGGTTCCTTCTATTAAGGCAAGTCGTCCAGGTCCTGAGGCAGCAAAGCATCCCCAAACCATCACACCACCGCCACCATGCTTGACATTTGGTATGATGTTCTTACTGTGGAATGCAGAGTTTGGTTTTCGCCAGGCATAATGGGACCCATCTCGTCCAAAAAGTTGACTCAAGTTTGCCAAAAAGCACCTGGATGATCATCAAGACTCTTGGAAGAATGTTCTATGGACAGATGATTCAAAAGTATACTTTTTTGGACATCATGGTTCCAGTAATGCCTGGCGAAAACCAAACTCTGCATTCCACAGTAAGAACATCATACCAAAGGTCAAGCATGGTGGTGGTGGTGTAATGGTTTGGGGATGCTTTGCTGCCTCAGGACCTGGACGACTTGCCTTAATAGAAGGAACCATGAATTCTGCTCTGTATCAGAGAATTCTACAGGAGAATGTCAGACCTGTCACGATCGTCTTCAAAAGGAGTAGTAGACCAAGGCGCAGCGTGTGAAATAAACATGACTTTATTTAATTAAAGTTACTAAATACAAACAAAAACACGACTCGTGAAGTCCAACGGTTAAACATACCGACACGGAACAAAAACCCACAACACCCAAGAGAAAACACACAGTTTAAATATGGCTCCCAATCAGAGACAACCAGCCGACAGCTGACACTCGTTGCCTCTGATTGGGAGTCACACATGCAAACATAGACATAGACAACCTAGAACACCCAACATAGAAAATGAACACATAGAATGCACACACCCTGGCTCAACATATAGAGTCCCAGAGCCAGGGTGTGACAGTACCCCCCCCTAAAGGCGCGGACTGCGACCGCGTCTTAACAAACCCCAAACAGGGGAGGGCTGGGTGGGCATTCCTCCTCGGAGGCGGCTCCGGCTCCGGCCTTGACCACCACCCCTCCATAATACCCCCGTAGCGCCCCTGGTCCGGTCTGACCCCGCTGGCAGGATCTGGACTGGACATACACGGAGCGGATAGCTTACGCTCCGTTGTGGAGCAGCTGACCGGTCTTACCAGGCTGACGACTCGCACCCCGGGCTTGGTGCGAGTAGCAGGAACGGGCTGAACCAGGCTGACGACTCGCACCCCTGGCTTGGTGCGAGTGGCAGGAACGGGCTGGACCAGGCTGACGACTCGCACCCCTGGCTTGGTGCGAGTGGCAGGAACAGGCTGGACCAGGCTGACGACTCGCACCCCTGGCTTGGTGCGAGTGGCAGGAACGGGCCGGGCCGGGCTGGCGACGCGCACCGTAGGTTTGGTGCGAGTGGCAGGAACAGGCCGGGCCGGGCTGGCGACGCACACCGTAGGTTTGGTGCGAGTGGCAGGAACAGGCTGGGCCGGGCTGGCGACGCACACCGTAGGTTTGGTGCGTGGAGCAGGGACAGGCCGGGCTGGGCTGGCGACGCACCCCGTAGGCTTGGTGCGTGGAGCAGGGACAGGCCGGGCTGGGCTGGCGACGCACACCGTAGGTTTGGTGCGTGGAGCAGGGACAGGCCGGGCTGGGCTGGCGACGCACCCCGTAGGCTTAGTGCGTTGAGCAGGGACAGGCCGGGCTGGGCTGGCGACGCACCCCGTAGGCTTGGTGCGTGGAGCAGGGACAGGCCGGGCTGGGCTTGCGACGCACCCCGTAGGCTTGGTGCGTGGAGCAGGGACAGGCCGAACCGGGCTGTGGAGACGGATAGGAGACCTGGAGTGAAGAGCGGCCACCACCCGTCCTGGCTGAATGCCTACCCTCACACACTCTGTGTGAGGCATCCGCACAGGACGTACAGGGCGGTGTACCCCTGGCCTGGTGGCCTCCTGGATTCGCCCCATCTTTGCCTCCGTCAGCCCCGTCGTCCATGCCGTGTGCCCCCCCCTAAAAATTTCTTGGGGTTGCCTCTCGACCCTCCGACGCTGCTCCCACGTCCAGGTTGCCTGTTCCTGGACACGCTGCTTGGTCCTGGTATGGTGGGTTTTTCTGTCTCGGTCGTCTGGGTAAGGAGTAGTAGACCAAGGCGCAGCGTGTGAAATAAACATGACTTTATTTAATTAAAGTTACTAAATACAAACAAAAACACGACTCGTGAAGTCCAACGGTTAAACATACCGACACGGAACAAAAACCCACAACACCCAAGAGAAAACACACAGTTTAAATATGGCTCCCAATCAGAGACAACCAGCCGACAGCTGACACTCGTTGCCTCTGATTGGGAGTCACACATGCAAACATAGACATAGACAACCTAGAACACCCAACATAGAAAATGAACACATAGAATGCACACACCCTGGCTCAACATATAGAGTCCCAGAGCCAGGGTGTGACAAGACCATCCGTCTGTGAGCTGAAGCTGAAGCGCAGCTGGGTCGTGCAGCAAGACAATGATCCAAAACACACAATCAAGTCTACATGAAAATTGCTAAAAAGCAACAAATTGGAAGTTTTGGAATGGCCTAGTCAAAGTCCAGACCTAATCCCAATTGAGATGTTGTAGCAGGACTTGAAACGAGCAGTTCATGCTTGAAAATCCACACGTCACTGAGTTAAAGCAGTTCTGCATGGAAGAGTGGGCCAAAATTCCTCAACAGCGACGTGAGAGACTGATCAACAACTACAGGAAGCATTTGGTTGGAGTCATTGCAGCTAAAGGTGGCACAACCAGTTATTGAGTGTAAGGGGGCAATTACTTTTTCACACAGGGGAATTGGGTGTTGCATAACTTTGTTATGAAATAAATATGTAATTGTTGTGTTATTTGTTCACGTATGTTCCCTTTATCTAATATTAGGTTTTGGTTGAAGATCTGATAACATTCAGTATCACAAATATGCAAAAGTAGAGAAAATTAGAAAGGGGGCAAATACTTTTTCATAGCACTGTATATTCTGTGTAGGCATTAGAATGTGTGGTTTCAATGAAAGCATAAAGACCTTGACACGCGTGAAGAGGCATGAATGCCTTGTTAGAATGTGGATTTTGATACGGCACCACAGAGAGCAATGAATACAATTGGAGCACATGAGGTCACTGACATGCGGAATACACATTACATAAAACATTTGTGGAGACTGAAACTTTGCCTCACATCTATTTCTCGTTTCTCGTTTTGGTGTACTTTCACTAACACAGAAACCATGTCTCTGGTGGGAGAGTGGAGAAAGGAGAGTGTGTTGAGACTAGAGAGGCATGTTAGTGATCAGTTCAGCCTACCTCCTTATACGAGACTCCTGGGCACATGTGTTCTTGTAGTGATCACTGTTCTCTGGAACCCGTGGGTCCTCTGGAATCCCTGGTCCGCTCAGGATCGAGTCAAGGAACAGCTTGGCCTTGCCATGCAAGAAGTTCAGCAGGTCGCCATGGCTACAGTACTCCGTGATCATCAGCATTGGGCCTGTGGTCGAACACAACAATGGGATGACCGATTTGGTTAACCAATGACACCAAGTCATGTTTACCTTGTTGTATGGAAATCAAGTACAGAAAATAGTTTGTCGCACCTCCTTGAGTACACGCCCCTAACAGGTTAACAATGTTGTCATGATATCCCAGGTGAATGAGGATCTTCAGTTCTGACATCAAAGCTTCTCTCTCTTCTGAGTGGGCGCTTGCTGAGGAGGAGAAGTAACTATTTCATTATTACATGTACTGAGGTAGTGCTTCTTCTATGATGGGAACACGTATCCAATAACAGAAAGTATCCAATAACAGTTATCTATTGTACAATAACTTTGACTTCCTTTTGTAAAGTAAATGCAACGCTGCAGGAAAAGATTTTACAAACAGTATGAGGAGGCTAACTCACGCTTGAGCATCTTAACTGCCACACGCGTGGTCATGTTGTCATCGGTCCCCAGACCATAGGCAGTGGCCTCCACTACTTTCCCAAAAGCCCCTGCTCCGAGAATCTGGCCTGAAACACACCGTTTTCAGTCAGTCCTTACTGTTTAGAGTACTGGTCTCTGTTTTTACCCCCAAAACTGCAATAAAACATACCAAGCCTCAGCTTATCACGAGGGAACTCCCACTTCTTGTTATAAGGAAGTTGTGTAGGGTCAATAAAGGTGTAGTTATTCCCATCATTGGCCTTGATGATCTTCCACCGGACTTCATATTTTGGTTTCTATGAGAGAAAACATGTGTTGTGTAATTGTCTAACTGCAAACGTCTTTGGGCATTGATAGCCAGTGAATGAGCCATTAAATGCAGCTTACCTGCTTGTATTTGTACAGCACGATGACAAGCAGAAGGAACAGAAAAGCTGCTGTGCTGGTGGCTCCATTGAGAGTGGGTGTGAACAACTTGGACGTTACATATTTTGATGAAGTTTCAGCAGGAACACCTAACACATAACAAACAACAAACACATTTGATGCCCTTGAAGTCAGCTCATGACATTCAATACTGAACAGGGAAATTAGAAATGACACTACCTGTAGCTGTTTCAATACTAGTCTTAATGTGACAGAACCAGTGCCATGTGAGAATCTCACAAAACTTTTCTTTGTACAATATATTGTATATCTGCAAAGATTGTCTTACGCACTACGAAGATGTCCCGCTCTTCACCAACCAGGTTAACGGTCACACACTCCACTGTGACCTCCATACTTAAGGGACTGAGGGTCAGCTCACTCTGCACCTCCTCTGGACCTAATGCTTCTGTCTGCACCTCCACGGTGCTGGTGAGGAGAGGCTGCACCTCCATGGTGTCATTGTCACCATCACACCTGACAACAGAGGAACATCAGGATGAGCACAGAACAGTGAAACCGCTCTCTCTGCATCTTGTGCCTTGGAAAGATCTTGTCCTATTGTTATCCAGTTAGAGAACCTACAATCAACCAATCAAATTTGTTTTATAAAGCCCTTTTTACATCAGCAGTTTTTACACCTACGTGTTTTGTATTCCTGGGCACTGGTACCAGAGGATTATGGGAGCTGGGTATCCAGAGGCGGTGCAGGTCAGGGTGGTAACATTCTTCAGTCTGACCATGGCACTGGGTTTCTCTACTCAGTCAGAGAGGACAAACATCATCACACTTTTTAAGTAAGCTCTCAACACTCTCAGACCAGGCCACAATTGCGGTCCATATTTTCTTGCTAGTTTGAATGTTGATGTGACCGATCACATTGGAATGAGATCACTTACGGTAGACTTGGACATTGAAGGTGATGGAGCCATTGAGGCATGTGCTCCTAGTGTGGAGGGTGTACTGGCCTCTCTCCTCAGACCTCACTCTCTGTAGCAGCAGGATGCTCTCGTACCTACAGGGTGACAGTATCAGACAGTATCAAATAACAGCACAGTATCAATAGCTTCTGTATTTATTCAGCATCTTTATAAATGATGCGATACAAACATTCAGTATCAGACAAATCATGTACAGTAACTCTAGGGAAAATAACGACCTGTTATTGTATCGGACGGCCCATGTGTCATCATGAGTGGAGATGTTGTGACTGTGAGACATGGGCATGTCCCACCACTGCTCCTTGATTTGGGGATACGCCTCGATCCGAATGTTTATCTCAAGGTTCTCTCCTTCGTTCACTTCAACTAAGGAGCCATTTAGGTAGAGATCCGGTGACAGTTGGGGTATGAGCCTAATGTAAGGCTTATCTGATGAGGTGAGAGGGAAAAACAGAGATAACATTAGAGATATCATTATTTTGACCACGAACCTGAACTAAACTGAAAATTGAGATTGTCACACCCCAATTTCCTTTGAGGATGCTGAGCTGAGTTTCACTTTTAAAACAGGTTTCTGTGTTTGGTGTTTGTGGAAATCAACACTAGCCTCGTACTACCATCCTGATCTTGCAGGCTTACATAAATACAGTATGTTTCTGTGTAGTGAAACATATCAGATGCTAGATCAACACTCCCTGATGCTTACCTACAACCTGCAGGTAGGTGGTGGAGCTGTTGGCCCCAGCCTCATTCATGGCTGTACAAGTGAAGTTTCCTGTGTGAGACATGGCCACAGCTGGGATAGTCACACTACTGGTGATGTGTACTTGCTTACTCTGGTCCTCTTGGATCATTTTATGTGAAAAGTCCAATGCCTATAAAAACAACAACACCAACATATCAGTTCAGGTCTTCAGAAATATACTGTATCATACAAGTTAAAAGCACACTGTAACGGTTTTGACTTGAGGCATTTATAGGGGTGCCAGGTAGGTAGTGCCTACCAGAGAAAGCATAGGTTTCTCCTTTTAGTTCGGGAGGGAATGAGTCCCATCTGGTCCGTCAAGTCACACCAATACAAAGGACTTATGTAAAAGTCAAGATGGAAATATACTTTTCATAAACCCCTAAAACCTTGGAAAGAACTTCAAACAAGTGTATTCTTTTGCTTGGTTGTATTCACAACATAAATGATCACACCCACCCACACACAACAATATAACAAATCAATGCACTTATGTTCATTTAGAAATGTCCTGTACCTCGAGCATAAAAAGAGTCCAGCCCGGTAAATAAGTTCCGTGGCTCAAGTGCCCTTAGTCCCGCAACGCTTGTCCGTAGCATAAACCCAGTATATTCATACCCTCAAAATAACACTTATTTGGTAACACAACTATAAAGCGTATCAAAGACTACCCAAAGAATAATACGTCCTCACAACTACATAAATCACAGTATACATCACCCCCAAACAAAGGAAATACCGTATACAAAAAGTTGTAGTCAGTCGGTCAGTCAGACAATCCGCCAACAGCCCTCCAGCGGAGGAAAGGCCACGAAAACCAACGGAGAGTTGTAGTCCACAGACGCACAGAGTGGATCCAATCCTGGGTAAACTCGCTTTAAGGCCACAAAACACACTGTAAGGCAACCAAACAAACGTCATGGCGAAGCTTCATGAACTGAAGGTAGTACACATCCTCCTTCAGGTCTCAATCACAACTTCTCTTTTGCGCAGCTGATGCTGGCTATTTAATGGGGAATTAAAGGGGAAGCGCCCTATTAGAAGGAGAAGCCTTGAGACGGTTCAGAAATATTCAGGGCCGTCACACACCCCCTCCCCTGGAAAAAGCCGACCATTGCCCGGGAAGGCAGATCTTGGTCGGGGAAACCGAGAAAGGTCTCCTCATCACTTTCCTCTACAAAAATATTCATTACTTTTTGGCGCTCACGCTCCTCAGCTGAGGGGTCACAGGCATTAAGCCGTGAGACTTCTGGGTCTGGGAATCCGAGAAAAGTCTCCTTACTTTCCTCTTCAAAGATCTCCAGGACCTTGCGGCGCTCAATCTCCTCCAATTCCTCAGCCGAGGGGTAACAGGCCTTAAGGCGTGAGACATGGACAACGCGCATATCTTCACCTGTGTCCTCTTTCACCACTCGGTAGTTCAAAGGGCCCACCTGCTCCACAATCCTATATGGTCCTTGCCATTTAGGAGCGAGCTTGGCCGAGAAGAATTGTTCAGCTTTCGAGTAAGGATGAGAGCGAAGCCACACCCGATCACGAAGCTGGAACTGCAGGTCTCGTCTGTTCTTATCATAATTTCTCTTCTGCTTGAGTCGAGCCTGGATCATGTTCCTTGAGACAAGAGCTCTCAAGTCGTGGAGATGGACTACCTGGTCATAGCAAGCAGCGTCTGGAGTAAGCTGCTGGGGCTGTAGCACCATATCCAAGGGTCCTCGGAGGAGACGACTTAGGTTCAGCTCTGCAGGTGTGACTCCAGTGGACTCTTGCACAGCAGAATTCAGGGCAAATCGAAACTCGTGAAGGTGCTTGTCCCAATGTTTGTGCTGGGTCCCTACATAGGAAGCAACCATGGTCTTCAAGGTTCGATTTACTCTCTCAGTGAGGTTGGTCTGTGGGTGATAGGCTGTGGTCAACTTCTGTCTCAGGTTCCATCTTTGGCAGGTCTCTCCAAAGAGATCAGAGACAAATTGGGAACCTCGATCAGACAGAATGTAATCAGGCACTCCCCAGCGAGTCAGGATCTCTCTCGTAAGGATGTTAGAGACGGTCCTCGCTGTGGCCTGACGCAGGGCAAAGAGCTCAACCCACTTGGAATAGTAATCAACAAAAACAAGCATGTACACATTCTGATTGGAGCTTCTAGGAAATGGACCCATCAAATCCACTCCTAACATTTCCCAAGGTCGGGTAACCACAGTTTGCTGCAACTTGCCAGCAGGTTTTCTACCTTCTGGTTTGTACATTTGACAAACCTGACATTTTCGGATATGTGATTTCACATCCATGCTCAGATGTGGCCAGTACAGTAATGCTTGCAAACGTTTGTAGGTTTTGAACCTGCCCAAATGACCAGCTAATGGGTCTTCATGGAAATGTTGAAGCAGTTGAAGGCGTAGAGTTTCAGGTATGTATATTTGGTAGAGTGTTCTGTGAGGTAGTTGTACAACTCGGTAGACTTTGTCTTCAATGATGGTCAGCTTTGTGGTAGGGTTGACCATCTTTTCTTCATCTTCCAGGATAGTCTGGTACAAAGCCTGTACTTCGGGATCATCCTGTTGGGCTTTCCAAATGACCTCATCAGAGATGGGAAAGTCAGTTTTGGGTGAGTCTCGACTGCTAGACAGGACAGTAGCACATGTAAGATGAGGGCCACCATTACCACAAGCAGGAGCTCTGGATAAGGCATCTGGAACAGTGTTGTATTTTCCTTTCCTGTATTCTACTGCAAAGGTGAACTCTTGCAACCGTAGAGCCCATCTGATGAGCCTGGTGCTTGGTTTGTTGGTCTTGAACACCCACACAAGGGAGGAATGGTCAGTGACCACAGTGAAGTGTCTTCCCTCCAGGTAGTACCTCCACTTTTCCAAAGCCCAGACAACTGCAAGGCACTCTTGCTCGGTTGTGGAGTAGTTCCGTTCTGCTCCATTCAATGTCCGACTGGCGAACGCTAGCACTTCTTCAGTACCAAGTCCAGTCTGTTGGACTAGGACAGCACCAAGTCCAACATCACTAGCATCAGTGTAAACAACAAAAGGGAAATCAAAGTTGGGATGACCCAAAATGGGAGGGGTGACGAGGTGTCGTTTCAGGGTTTCAAAGGAGTTCTGGCACTCTGCCGTCCATCGGAATTTCGCTCCTTTTCGCTTCAACCCGTTGAGGGGTTCGGCCACCTGGGAGAAGTTCCACACAAACCGATGGTACCATCCAGCCATCCCAAGGAACCGTTGAAGGGCCTTGAGTGTGGTTGGCACAGGGAAGTCTTGTACAGCCTTGGTCTTTTCAGGATCCACATGAATACCATCACAAGACACAATATGGCCAAGGAACTTCAGGGAGGTTTGGCAGAAGTTGCTCTTCTTCATGTTCACTGTCAGACCAGCTTCTCTTAGCTTGTCCAACACTGCTTGAAGGTCTTGAAAGTGTTGCTCTCTGTTCTGGGAGTAGATAATTATATCGTCCAGGTAGACGAAACATATCTTCCCTTTGAGCTCACCTAACGCAATCTCCATGAGTCTTTGGAAAGTGGCAGGTGCATTCTTTAATCCAAAAGGCATCACCTTAAAGGAAAACAAGCCCTCAGCACAGACAAAAGCAGTCTTGTCCTTGCTTTCCTGGTCCATCTCAACCTGCCAATAGCCACTATTGAGGTCAAGGGTAGTGAACACAACAGCGCCAGACAATGACTCCAGGATCTCGTGGATGGTGGGAAGAGGATAGGCATCCGTCTGGGAAACATTGTTGGTCTTCCTATAGTCCACACAAAATCTAAGACCACCGGTCTTTTTTGGAATGAGGACAACAGGAGCAGCCCAGGGAGAGGAGGAACGTTCTATTATATCTTGTGTTAACATATCATTAATGAGTCCCTTTTGGATGATTAGCTTCGCTGGGGACAAACGATATGGCTTTTGCTTGATCGGCATTTCCTGTGTAAGGAATATTTTGTGCTTCAGGAGTCCGGTGCATCCTAACTTTGAAGTACACACATCAGCATTATTCTGCAGCTGTTCCAACAGCCTTAACTCCTCTGGCTGTTCCAGCTGAGCTCTTCTTACAGCCTGTAAAAGGAGATCCTCAGAAGGATTATCCAGGGTTAGTGGTACCGTAGCAACGGCAGAGAAGACTGCCACATTTAGACCCCAATCATGTAACTTTGTAACTTCTGATTGGAAGAAATGCTTCTTGCTCGGATTGTTTGGAAACCAGTAGCAATTGTGTGCGATATCAATCTGGACACCACTGAAGTACATGAAATCAATTCCCAACACGACAGGAAAAGCAAGGTTCTTGTTTTGTAGGATAACCGAAGGAATCATATAGGAGCGGTTACACAGGCGGAACTCCACCTCACTCCATCCAAGTGGTCGTTTAGCCGCACCGTCAGCCAGATACAGTGGACCTTCTGTCCACGGCTTCAAGTTGTATTTTGGACCTTCAACCTCCTTCCACAGTTTCTCATTGAGCAGTGTGTAGGATGCCCCGGTGTCCAGGATGGCTCTTCCTGTCCATGGGCCTATGGACAGGGGTAACACCAGCTGGTGTGGTATTAACTGAAAGGAAGGGGATGTCGGCGGGGGGGCGTAGGCAGTGACTCTTGAGGTTTCAGCTCTGGTCAAAGCACCCAGAGTAGGATGGTCGTTCCTGCGAAGTGTGTTAGGGGTGTTGGCCTGTTGTAATTTGTGGTTTCTGGAAGGGTTTACTTGATACGGTCTTGGACATGTAGCTGAAGAATGTCCCTTTTGGCTACATCTCCAACAGAACATGGGAGGGGTCTTGGCTGGAGACTCTGGCTGTGGTTGATGATCTGGCTTGGGTAACTGTCTGGGTGTCTGTTTCTTTCTCTGTTCATATTGCTGTTGGCATTCTCTGTCCTTCTCGAACTGCTGTCCCAGGCGAACCAGTCCATCGACAGTGGTGACTCTTTCTCTGAGTTGACTGGCTAGTAGTGGGTTGATGTTCTTCAAGATCAACTTAATGACCTCTTCCTCCTCAATGCCAGGTTTCCACCTTCTGCACAGGGAGTGATAACCGTATGCAAAGTCACGAATATTCTCATTCTCCCTTTGCACTCGATTCCTGACTCTGTCTGCCAGCTCATCTGTGTAGTCCTCAGACAGAAATGCAGAGGAAAACTTGGCCTCAAAGTCAGCCCAGGAGGTAGTGGTGAGACGTGCCACATCCCACCAGTCTCGAGCTGTCCCATGCAACACATTCCTCAATGTGGCAAGGAGTTCTTCGTCAGCCAGGGGATTGAGGGCAAGAAAGTCATGACATCTTTCCAGATACATTAGCGGATCAGGACTGTCATCCTTTTTCCCAAAGGTGGGAAATTGCAATTTAATGGGCATCGCTCCCACATGACGTCTACTCAAATCACCATGAACAAAAGAGCTAGGAGGGATTGAGGAAGTAGAGGGTGAGGGAGTTATGGGACCATGAAAATGAACACCAGGATGCATGGTGGATTGCATCCTGCAAGGGGTGGCTGCAGCATGGCCTTGTCTTGGCTGTTCTGAGGTGCCCGCTTGGCCCTCAGTGGTCTGAACAGAAGTGGACACAAGAGAAGCTCTGTGCAAGGAGTTGTGCCTAATGGAGGCCATGTCAACAGATACATCATCCAACATTTTAACACAATTAGAGAGCGCTGTCTGCAAGTGGTCTACAGTGTTAACCAGGGGAGAAAATACAGAATTGACGTCCTTGAGGACCTCAGTGTGATGATGTTGCAGGCGCCACTGGAGAGTGGCAGTGAGTTGGCTTTGTTGGTAGTCAAACTGCCTGTCCATGGCACCAGTAATTTCCTGTCTTCCACTCTCACTGAGCTCTGTCAGAGTGTGAGTTAGAGTACTCAGTGAGTTTCTGAATTCCATGGCACTCTGTTGTTGCTCTACACTCAGACATTTGAATTTATGATGGATTAGAGTTTGGAGATGTTGTTGAGTCTTACGAATATCAAGGATGTCACCTTGAAGTTGTAAGACTACAACCTCTGGAGATAAACCAGACAATGGAGGAAGATTGGGCGTCAGAGGGAGGGCTAGCTCAGTACCTTCACACAGATCCATGTCAATAAGTGAGTTACTAGTTAGACCTGTGGCCTGTGGTCCAGACCGAGCATTTAGATTCCCAGGGCTCTGGCCCACATCAACTCCATTATTTCCATTCACATTATGATTTGTATTGTTGGCTCGGTAGTCAGAATGGCCCTGTGTATTCCCATTGACAGGTAGGATATGGATGAGCTCATTTTCTTGTAGTGAATCCATTATTTTAATTCCACTCAAAAGATTTGCTTTGGTTAGTTCTCAATGTTGAAGTCCCATCTGGGGTGCCATTTTTTATGTAACGGTTTTGACTTGAGGCATTTATAGGGGTGCCAGGTAGGTAGTGCCTACCAGAGAAAGCATAGGTTTCTCCTTTTAGTTCGGGAGGGAATGAGTCCCATCTGGTCCGTCAAGTCACACCAATACAAAGGACTTATGTAAAAGTCAAGATGGAAATATACTTTTCATAAACCCCTAAAACCTTGGAAAGAACTTCAAACAAGTGTATTCTTTTGCTTGGTTGTATTCACAACATAAATGATCACACCCACCCACACACAACAATATAACAAATCAATGCACTTATGTTCATTTAGAAATGTCCTGTACCTCGAGCATAAAAAGAGTCCAGCCCGGTAAATAAGTTCCGTGGCTCAAGTGCCCTTAGTCCCGCAACGCTTGTCCGTAGCATAAACCCAGTATATTCATACCCTCAAAATAACACTTATTTGGTAACACAACTATAAAGCGTATCAAAGACTACCCAAAGAATAATACGTCCTCACAACTACATAAATCACAGTATACATCACCCCCAAACAAAGGAAATACCGTATACAAAAAGTTGTAGTCAGTCGGTCAGTCAGACAATCCGCCAACAGCCCTCCAGCGGAGGAAAGGCCACGAAAACCAACGGAGAGTTGTAGTCCACAGACGCACAGAGTGGATCCAATCCTGGGTAAACTCGCTTTAAGGCCACAAAACACACTGTAAGGCAACCAAACAAACGTCATGGCGAAGCTTCATGAACTGAAGGTAGTACACATCCTCCTTCAGGTCTCAATCACAACTTCTCTTTTGCGCAGCTGATGCTGGCTATTTAATGGGGAATTAAAGGGGAAGCGCCCTATTAGAAGGAGAAGCCTTGAGACGGTTCAGAAATATTCAGGGCCGTCACAACACATAGGTAGGGGAAACATCTATGATTTAATGACAGAAATTGACAACAGGCTACTGTTTAACTGACTTTGAGGGAGGAGTGTTTCCACGTCACGTTGTAGAAGTGATTAGGGTTGCTGGTGATGCAGTGGATCAGGAGCTGCTCTCCAACAATACGAACATACCCATCTACCTCAATTAACACAGATGGTGGCGAACGCAACCCTGGAACAGACGTAGAGAAGTGTTTAGATGTGTTTCAATGCTTTGGGGCTAATAACCTCAATGTCCAACAAATACAAATGCACAGACATCAACTTCATCTTACTTTGAATGACGATGATGGGGACGACTTTGGAGACTATCGTGACCCCATTGATCTTTGCACTGCAGACGTATTCTGCGCTGTGGCTGGTCAGAAGGTATCGGATGAGGATTCCTCTCTTGGGGTTGACAGTGTAGTTCATGTCGGGGGGTGTAGGGTCTCCGTTGGCCAAACGGAGGGATAGGTCGGTGGCACTGGGGTCTGTCAGCTGACAGAGGAGAACATCACTGCCATCCTTCACATCTCCCAGGGTGCGAGGGGTCACCAAGATGTTATGGGGATCTATAAGGAACATAACATGTGATATATGGTGCATGTGAGTCTTCAGGTTGAGCACTGAATTTGACAATACGTACACACTTACCTTTCACATAAATGTGGACCTCTGAGGTGAGGTCTGGTTGGTTCTCATACATGCACTTGTATGTGCCAGTGTAGTCTGTTGTAAGGCGCCTGATGGTAATCACACTCCCCAATCTAGTACTCCTCTTGAGTTTGAATGCTGTGGTAGACCAGGTGACTGTGCTGTTCCCCTCACAGGTCAAGGTGAAAGATGAGGTTCCAACAGGCATAGTCCACTCAGCCTCCCTCAGCACCACCGAATTCAGCTTGATCACCGGAGGGCTCCGCTCTGTCAACAAACCAAAGACAGAACCAGGAATAAATAACACACACAATTAAATCTAGCAATCTCATGTTTCATGGAATGCAGACATAGTCTACAGTAATGATATATTTCAGTGAATTATCACATTTGTAACTACAATTACCTACAGTGCATTCGGAAAGTATTCAGACCCCTTAACCTTTTCCACATTTTTGTTACGTTACAGCCTTATTCAAAAATGGATTAAATAAAAATGTCCCTCATCAATCTACACACAATACCCAATAATGACAAAGCGAAAACAGGTTTTTAGACATTTTTGCAAATGTATTCAAAATAAAAAACAGAAATACCTTATTTATATAAGTATTCAGACCATTTGCTATGAGACTCAAAATTGAGCTCAGGTGCATCCTGTTTCAATTCATCATCCATGAGATGTTTCTACAACTTGATTGGAGTCTACCTGTGGTAAATCGGACATGATTTGGAAAGGCACACACCTGTCTATACAAGGTCCCACAGTTGACAGTGCATGTCAGAGCAAAAACCAAGCCATGAGGTCAAAGGAATTGTCCGTAGAGCTCCGAGACAGGATTGTTTCGAGGCACAGATCTGCGGAAGGGTACCAAAACATGTCTGCAGGATTGAAGGTCCCCAAGAACACAGTAAATGGAAGAAGTTTGGAACCACCAAGACTCTTCCTAGAGCTGGCTGCCCGGCCAAACTGAGCAATCGTGGGAGAAGGGCCTTGGTCAGGGAGATGACCAAGAACCAGATGGTCACTCTGACAGAGCTCCAAAGTTCCTCTGTAGAGATGGGAGAATCTTCCAGAAGGACAACCATCTCTGCAGCACTCCACCAATCAGGCCTTTATGGTAGAGTGGCCAGACGGAAGCCACTCCTCAGTAAAAGGCACATGACAGCCCACTTGGAGTTTGCCAAAAGGCACCTAAAGGACTCTCAGACCATGAGAAACAACATTCTCTGGTCTGATGAAACCAAGTTTGCACTCTTTGGCCTGAATGCCAAGTGTCACGTCCGGAGGAAACCTGGCACCATCCCAACATTGAAGCATGGTGATGCCAGCATCATGCTGTGGGGATGTTATTCAGTGGCAGGGACTGGGAGACTAGTCAGGATCGAGGGAAAGATGAATGGCGCAAAGGACAGAGAGATCCTTGATGAAAACCTGCTTCAGAACGCTCAGAACCTCAGACTGGGGCGAAGGTTCACCTTCCAACAGGACAACGACCCTAAGCACACAGCCAAGACAATGCAGGAGTGGCTTCGGGACAAGTCTCTAAATGTCCTTGAGTGGCCCAGCCAGAGCCCGAACTTGAACCTGATCGAACATCTCTGGAGAGACCTGAAAATAGCTGTGCAGCGACGTTCCCCATCCAACCTGACAGAGCTTGAGAGGATCTGCAGAGAAGAATGGGAGAAACTCCCCAAACAGATGTGCCAAGCTTGTAGCGTCATACCCAAGAAGACTCAAGGCTGTAATCGCTGCCAAAGGTGCTTCAACAAAGTGCTGAGTAAAGGGTCTGAATACTTACGTAAATGTGATATTTTTCTTTGTCATAATGGGGTATTGTGTGTAGATTGATGAGGGGGAATTTTTTTTTTTAATCCATTTTAGAATAAGGCTGTAACGTAACAAATGTGGAAAAAGTCAAGGGGTCTGAATACTTTCCGAATGCACTGTATCTTCTCAGTGACAATGATGAATATTTTCAAGTGGAAGCCCCATTGATTTATAAGTGTTTATTCAGTTTATATATTTGATCTTAAACTTCAGAAATCTCTCCATTTTACATATTTGTAGGGAGTTTGCATGAGTTACAGTGCCTTGCAAACGTATTCACCCCCCTTGGCGTTTTTCCCTATTTTTTGCATTACAACCTGTAATAAAAATTTATTTTTATTTGGATTTCATGTAATGGACATACACAAAATAGTCCAAATTAGTGAAGTGAAATGAAAAAATGAACTTTTTTCAAAAAATTATACAAAATAAATAACAGAAAAGTGGTGTGTGCATATGTATTCACCCCCTTTTCTATGAAGTCCCTAAATAAGATCTGGTGCAACCAATTACCTTCAGAAGTCACATAATTAGTTAAATAAAGCCCACCTGTGTGCAATCTAAGTGTCACATGATCTGTCACATGATCTGAGTATATACTGTATGTCTGTTGAAGACAGACAAGTCGTGTGGCGAATGAGGTGAGCCCCTCCCCTCATGATAAGGAGCCAATCGCCTGCCCTCTGGCCATTCTCACCGCTCTTCTTCACAAAGAGTCCTACTCTAAACTCTCCTGAGCATGACTTAATCCCTGTTTTCCTGCTTAACTGTTCACACAGGTGTGCCGCGACGTTATGCCCAGGTCTTTTAGCTCTTGTCGTCTGTGTTGGGTGACTTTATCAAAAGGAACGTTTTCACTTCGGGTAATTTTCACTTCGGTGGTAGCTAGCATCACACGGTTACGGTTATCGACTTCGTCTCGGGCCTAACAACACCCGTGCCAATATATCCAACAAACACCGGCTTCTCTGGCATTATCACTTAAATATACAGTGGAGGCCAGGTCATCAGATTTGCAGATGTTATCGTAGGTGTAGTGAAATGCTTGTTTTCTAGCTCCAACAGTGTAGTAATAATAACTAGAAAACAATAGAAAACAATATGCACAAAGTTCAAAAGTAATGTGAAAGAAATTATGAAATATGAGATTGAGCAATGTCAGAGTCCGGAACAAATAAATAAATATATGGTCAGTCTATTTATATATACTGTACCAGTCAAAAGTTTGGACACACCTACTCATTCAAGGGTTTTTCTTTATTTTTACTATTTTTTACATTGTATAATAATAGTGAAGACATCAAAACTATGAAATAACACATATGGAATCATGTAGTAACTACAGTTAAATATAAGTTAAATATAATATATTTTATATTTGAGATTATTCAAATTGCCACCCTTTGCCTTGATGACAGCTTTGCACGCTCTTGGCATTCTCTCAACCAGCTTCATGAGGTAGTCACCTGGAATGCATTTCAATTAACCTGTCTCATGCTGGTTAATATCTGAGCATCTCATTGTCTGGCAGCGCCAGGGTGAGCGTTGGGTTTCTTGGCCAGGTCCTGGAGGTGGGTAGATATGCCGGACACCTGCAGCAGGAGGGCCTGGTGGTTCTCCACCAGGAGACTCTGGTGTCTAGCCAGGTTCCGCAGGTCACTCAGGTGCTGTGCTCCGTACCTTCATAGCTTTCAGCAGCTTGATGACATCCCCCTGGCTGCTGGACACCTCTCGGTGCTCCTGGACCAGCTGAGACATCACCTTGACCACCTCTCCTCTCCAGCTAGCAGCCTCTCGCTGGTCCTGGGTCAGTTGGGAGAGTAACTGTTTCAGCTTGTCCACGCAGAGGGAGGGAGGGGCTACCACTGGGGGAGCCTGACTGGAGGATAACTGATTTAGGGGCCCTCATGGTCATGCCAACTGGTTCATTGGCAGGTGCTTCTTCGTTACCTGAAAGAGGGTGAAAACAAAATGTTTTTGTGGTGAGTGAAGACGTCCCATTTTAATTCATAGCAACAAACTTGCAAGAATTATTATTATTAGTAGTATTTTTACTGTACAACATAGTATTTCACTTATTTGTATAAAATACTAAAATGGACATCAACAATCCACTTACTTTAAGTCAGTGAAGATCGACCAAACTCAAAATGGGCCGGACAAAATGATTGGCACCTTAACTTAATATTTAGTTGCACACCTTGGAAAAATAACTGAAATCAGTCGCTTCCTATAACCATCAATAGCTTCTTACACCTCTCACCCAATTTTGGACCACTCTTCTTTTGCAAACTGCTCCAGGTCTCTCATATTGGATGGGTGCCTTTTCCCAACAGCATTTTAAGATCTCTCCACAGGTGTTCATGGATTAGATCTGGACTCATTGCTGGCCACTTCGAACTCTCCAGCGCTTTGTTGCCATCCATTTCTGGGTGCTTTTTGAGTATGTTTTGGGGTCATTGTCCTGCTGGAAGACCCATGATCTCGGACGCAAACCCGCTTCTGACACTGGGCCCTACATTGCGACCAAATCCTTGGTAATCCTCGATTTCATGATGCCTTGCACACAGTCAAGCACCCAGTGCCAGAGGCAGCAAAAAAACCCAAAACATCTTTGAACCTCCACCATATTTGACTGAGTACTGTGTTCTTTTCTTTGAAGGCTTCATTACATTTTCGGTAAACAGTAGAACGATGTGCTTTACCAAAAAGCTCTATCTTGGTCTCATCTGTCCATAAGACGTTCTCCCAGAAGGAATTTGGCTTACTCATGTACATTTTGGCAAACTGTAGTCTTGCTTTTTTATGTCTCTGTGTCAGCAGTGGGTCCTCCTGGTCTCCTGCCATAGCGTTTCATTTCATTCAAATTTCGACATATAGTTCGCGCTGACACTGATGCACCCTGAGCCTGCAGACAGCTTGAATTTCTTGGAACTTGTTTGGGGCTGCTTATCCCCATCCGGACTATCCTGCGTTGCAACCTTTCATCAATTTTTCTCTTCCGTCCACGTCCAGGGAGATTAGCTACAGTGCCATGGGTTGCAAACTTCTTGATCATGTTGCGCACTGTGGACAAAGGAACATCTAGATCTCTGGAGATGGACTTGTAACCTTGAGATTGTTGATATTTTTCCACAATTTTGGTTCTCAAGTCCTCAGACAGTTCTCTTTCCTCTTTCTGTTCTCCATGCTTAGTGTGGCACACACAGAACACAATGCAAAGACTGAGTCAACTTCTCTCCTTTTTATCTGCTTTCAGGTGTGATTTTTAGATTGCCCACACCTGTTACTTGCCCCAGGTGAGTTTAAAGGAGCATCACATGCTTGGAAAAACTTATTTATCCACAATTTTGAAAGGGTGCCAATAACTTTGTCCGGCCCATTATTTTAGTTTTGTGTGAAATTATGTCAAATTTGCTTTTTTTTCCTGTTTTTTTTTGTGTTTTCCAATACACACAAAGGAAATAACATGTGCATAGCAAAACATGTGTAATTTCAATACTTTCTGTGAGAAATACTTCATTTTCTGGAAAAATTTCAGGGGTGCCAACAATTTTGGCCATGACTGTATATACTGTACCAGTCAAAAGTTTGGACACACCTACTCATTCAAGGGTTTTTCTTTATTTTTACTATTTTTTACATTGTAGAATAATAGTGAAGACATCAAAACTATGAAATAACACATATGGAATCATGTAGTAACTACAGTTAAATATAAGTTAAATATAATATATTTTATATTTGAGATTATTCAAATTGCCACCCTTTGCCTTGATGACAGCTTTGCACGCTCTTGGCATTCTCTCAACCAGCTTCATGAGGTAGTCACCTGGAATGCATTTCAATTAACCTGTCTCATGCTGGTTAATATCTGAGCATCTCATTGTCTGGCAGCGCCAGGGTGAGCGTTGGGTTTCTTGGCCAGGTCCTGGAGGTGGGTAGATATGCCGGACACCTGCAGCAGGAGGGCCTGGTGGTTCTCCACCAGGAGACTCTGGTGTCTAGCCAGGTTCCGCAGGTCACTCAGGTGCTGTGCTCCGTAGTCCTTCATAGCTTTCAGCAGCTTGATGACATCCCCCTGGCTGCTGGACACCTCTCGGTGCTCCTGGACCAGCTGAGACATCACCTTGACCACCTCTCCTCTCCAGCTAGCAGCCTCCCGCTGGTCCTGGGTCAGTTGGGAGAGTAACTGTTTCAGCTTGTCCACGCAGAGGGAGGGAGGGGCTACCACTGGGGGAGCCTGACTGGAGGATAACTGATTTAGGGGCCCTCATGGTCATGCCAACTGGTTCATTGGCAGGTGCTTCTTCGTTACCTGAAAGAGGGTGAAAACAAAATGTTTTTGTGGTGAGTGAAGACGTCCCATTTTAATTCATAGCAACAAACTTGCAAGAATTATTATTATTATTAGTATTTTTACTGTACAACATAGTATTTCACTTATTTTGTATAAAATACTAAAATGGACATCAAACAATCCACTTACTTTAAGTCAGTGAAGCGCATCTTCTTGAATTTCTCCTCTACCAGGCATGATGCCAACACTTGAGTACCGAAGTTATGTCATTTGCTGTTACTGACATGATAGAATTGTATCATATGGTGAATGATTAGTTATTTCAATGGTAATGCCTTAAAAATCATCCATAGAAAAGGGGAATGATTCAAGGAAAATGTAATTTCTTGGTATGCACCAATGTCAACAGCGAGAATTATTTAGCAAGTGACGCATTTCTGTCTTATTTCATATTTTAGTGGTGGGTTTTTTTGGAAGAAAGGGGAAATGAGAGTGTGATTGAGCTGTGTGGAAATGTTTGAAATGAAACCCCACATAGCGTCTAGCTCCAGGAAACACATTGTGTTGGGGACCCGCTGGACGGATCGTTGTCTTGAGGGGCCTGTTTCCCATTCTCACTCTTACTTCTGCTGTTTATGGGGAGGTGGGGAAGTGAGTGGGGGGTGGGGTGTTGGGGGGGGGGGTCAGGGTCAGGGTCAGGACATGTCCTATTAGCTCTTTCCCCCCACAGCTCTCAGATGTCAGAACCCACAAAGCTAACTAAACACCTGCTCTGTACTGTAACAGTCTTGGCTAACGCAGAACACCTCAAAGTCACCATGACATCACTATCAATTTGAGTAAAGATTCTGTTACATCCATGGTAAAAATGTTATGTTTTGTCATAAACGTTTAATTAAGACAAAATATAATTTATCCATATTGTAGAATATTTCAAACATAATACAACCACACAGAATATTGTGGGGTTTTATGTGTTTGTAAATTCATTTTAAACTTCAGAAACACTTTATATGAAATATACACTTTTGGATGACTTATTTGAATGATGTGATGCCAATTTATCGATGCAAAATACAAAAAAAGTAAGATTTTTTAAAATCAAAATAACTCATGAACACGACACATTTATTACACATTTTAGTGAACGTTAACATGACCATATGATTTAAATTAGGTCTCGTTGGTTAAGAAATCACAAGTATTCGTAGAACAAAGGCTGCGTTTACATAGCCAGCCCAATTCTGATATTTTGCCAAAATACCAATTATTGGCAAAATATCAAAATTGCGCTGCCTGTGCAAACACAGCCATAGGAGCTGATTTTAAACCACTTACAGTATCACTATGTTAGCATTTGATTCATGTGCTTACCTTGGGCTGTGCAGCAGACCATGATGCCTATGAAAAGGGCTAGGAAGAACATCTTCTGCCCCTCTCACTGTCTCTGTCTGTCTCTGACTGCTCTGTCTCTCTGTGTAAATGTCTGTTCACTCTACTCAAGGGTAGTTAAGGAACTGGTTGATTGGTGTGGCTTCTCAGTTCTTATAGCCTAATGTCATCACAACTTCCCCTTACTCACCTCCCACAGTGCATACAGCCAGTACATGTTAAAGTAGTTTTGGTTTCTTAATTAGTACTGTTACAAGCACACAATAATATGATTATTGTGAATAGTCAGATTAATATAATAGTTTGATTTAAATGTTAACAAGCTTTGCAAGAAGAACGATTTCCCTAATAATCCTGTTTACATGGACACATCTGAAATCAGGCTACCTGATTCTAAATAAACGTTCTACCATATTACATGTTATTTTTGTGAAGAATATTTGTTTTTGAGTTCGGACATATAATGTTTGTATGTGAAAACTATTTCTAAGATGCATACTTTCAGCTTTTCCAAACTCATTTCTGTCGTTCAAAATAAATAAGTTTGCGCCGCTTGTGCTAGCACATGCGCAGATGAAATACACCACTATAACTCTGATTAAGGGATTTACATGTAAGGGATAAACGCTGACGTTCTGTACATTACGTTGGAAATAATGGACTATGCAGCGGGACGAGGTGGAGCCAAGTCGCTTTGCGGAGTTCATTTTGTACAGAACCGAGGTGGAGCCAAGTCTCATTGCAGAGTTCATTTTTGCGGAGTTCAATGTACATAACCGAAGCGTTTATCCCGCTTATACCACAGTTGCCAAAGACAACAATGCTAAAGCACACATTTACGGGTAGAAAAAAAATATGTCTTTGATATTTTAATTTTTATAAGATAATTCATTCTTTCTCATCTTTTGGTTGCTTGAGACGCGACCCAGTCGTTCGTTCAATTAGTTAGATATTTATGGACGCGACCCAGTTGTTCGTTCTATATGTTCTGTTGCCATGTTCGCTAACAACGTTCTTGTCCCTTGCTTACTAACTAGCCAACTGGCTACGGCTAACACAGTCTCGACCTCTGCAGCCAGAATAACAGCAAAGTAGCTGCATTTGCATTTGTTTAGGATATTTTCTATTGCAGTCATTTCAATACATCCATAACAATGAGCTGATGATCCCTGATTTTGCCTGGCATAGCTAAAAAAGTTTGCCTTCTCGTCACTGTTTTAATGTCCATTCTAGAATGCCCTTCTAACCAATCAGAAACAAGTATTCAACAATGCTGTGGTATAAGTCCTATTATAAACTGGGTGGTTTGAGCCCTGTATGCTAATTGGCTGAAAGACGTGGTATATCAGAAAGTATACCACGGGTATGACAAAGCTTTTATTTTTACTCTTCTAATTACGTTGGTAACTAGTTTATAATAGCAATAAGGCACCTTGGGGGTTTGTGATATACTGTATGGCCAATATACCACGGCTAAGGGCTGTATCCAGGCACTCGTTGTGTCGTGGTTAAGAACAGCCTTTAGCTGTGACATATTGGCCATATACCACAGCCCCTCGGACCTTATTGCTTAATTATATCACAGCATTGTTGAATACTTGTTTCTGATTGGCTAGAAGGGCATTCTAGAATGGAACCGGTCTAATGTCCATAGCTCGTGTTTCTTGACCCGAGCAAATCTCTTCTTCTTATTGGTGTCCTTGAGTTCCGTTACTCCTCTCTGTTCAAGCCAGCCTCTGTACACCTCATATCTCCACACAGCTGTGCCCTTGAAAGATATGAGAAGAACAGGATAGACTGAGATACTGTGGTCACTCTCAGAGGCTCTTTCTCTTGACCGTGTGACCAAGTTCAACAGAAGCCCAGATGGTTGGAAACAATAACAGGTCGTCGCACCATGTCCTTGACGATATGCCCAGACCAGCTATGGGGAGTGAACGTGGAAGAGAGGAACCATCCTTTCTCAGAAGCACAGCATTGGTAGAGAGAATGCCAAGAGTGTGCAAAGCTGTCATCAAGGCAAAGGGTGGCTATTTGAAGAATCTCTAATATATATAATGTATTTGTTTAACACTTTTTTTTGGTTACTACATGATTCCATATGTGTTTTTTCATAGTTTTGATGTCTTCACTATTATTCTACTATGTAGAAAATAGTAAAAATAAAGAAAAACCCTTGAATGAGTAGGTGTTCTAAAACTTTTGACCGATAGTGTATGTTTCCAGCGAGCATGGCAATGGAGCATATATATATATATATAGAACGAACAACTGTGTCGCGCCCATAAATATTGAGCTAATCGTACGGCTGGGTTGCATCTCTAGCAACCAAAATATGAGAAAGTATTAATTATCTTCTAAAGATGATAATATCAACGAAAATGTTATTTATAAATGTGTGCTTTAATACTGTTTTCTTTGGCAACTGTGGTGTAAGCGTGACAAACACCTCCGTTCTGTACATTACCTTGGAAAAATGAATTCCTCAAAGAGACTCGTCTGCGTCGTCCATTATTTCCAAGGTAATATACAGAAGGTCGGCGTTTATCCCTTACATAATTCTAAAGATTGCTCAAGAAACAAGGTGTTTTAATTGGTGTATGCTTACTTCGATTATGACCTTACGCTGATTAAGATAAGCAGAGTAAGGTGTTTACATGACTAATGCCATAACCGACCTACTGCCATAATCCGTTTAATATCGAATGATTTGTGTGCATGTAAACATACGCATTGTCTTTTACAATATAACAACGTTCACAGTTAATACAATATATTTACAGATGGTCAATTCAATTAGACATGAGTGGAAATAATAGTAAACATCTTTATTGCATGTACAGTAGAATGGGCTGCCCATTATTCATTTAAACTCATATAACAAAATATGCAAGCAAATGCCATTAAAACCCTTGCAGTGCATTTGCTGTGTAGCAATGTATGCATCTACATTTTTTCCATCTAAGATACTTAGATATCGACAACATTCTTCAGCTTATTCAGAAAAGTCCCTTTACCGTGTGTCACGACTTCCGCCGAGGCTGCCCCCCCCTCTTGGTTCGGGCTGGCTTTGGCGTTCGTCGTCACCGGAGTACAAGCTACTGCCGATCCCATTCTCATCACTCCACATGTCATGTCTTGTCAATCACACATACCTGGTGCTCATTCCCCTAATTAGTATGTGTATAAGTGTTCCCTCTGTTCCCCTTGTCTTTGTGAGTGATTGTTTGTTGTGAGAGCGTGTAGCTTGGTTGAGCTACTATTCACTTTGTTTAGGCCAAGGTGGATGTTTTCCCTTGTAATAGTTTGTTTGACGCTTGGGGCGTTTGATTTATGTAAACTCTGGACTTCAGTATTTTACCTCCTGCTCCTGACTCCTTCATTCACACCTCGTCACACCGTGTACCATTCCATCTTAGTATTATTTACAATTTAGGTACCAAACAGAACAGGGAACATATAAACGTTTTGCCAGCCCTGGTTACAGTAATGCAAAGTGTATATTTAAGCAATAAGGCCCAAGGAGGTGTGGTAGATGGCCAATATACCACGGCTAAGGGCTGTTCTTATGCACAACGCAACGCGGAGTGCCTGGATATAGCCCCTTAGCCGTGGTATATTGGCCATATACCACAAACCCCTGAAGTGCTGTATTGCTATTATAAACTGGTTACAAAAATAATTTGAAGTAATTTTGCATCAAACCTGTGGTATATTGTCTGATATACCATGGCTTTCAGCCAATCAGCATACAGGACCTACCCGGTTTATAAATAAGAAAATAGCTATCATTGCTTTGATATATAGGTACCATACA